ATTTATTGTTTCACATCCGTGTAAACCAAATGTTTAACCCCTTTCATAAGAAACATACCTAACTTTTGTTTGTTATATTTATTGTTTCACATCCGTGTAAACCAAATGTTTAACCCCTTTCATAAGAAACATACCTAACTTTTGTTTGTTATATTTATTGTTTCACATCCGTGTAAACCAAATGTTTAACCCCTTTCATAAGAAACATACCTAACTTTTGTTTGTTATATTTATTGTTTCACATCCGTGTAAACCAAATGTTTAACCCCTTTCATAAGAAACATACCTAGCTTTTGTTTGTTATATTTATTGTTTCACATCTGTGTAAACCAAATGTTTAACCCCTTTCATAAGAAACATATCTAACTTTTGTTTGTTATATTTATTGTTTCACATTCATGTAAACCAAATGTTTAATCCCTTAGTTAGAAGTCCTTCTTAGTATTTATTAAACGTGCAAAAACATAGGCTTCCTACTGCTAGAGATATTTTTTATATATATGTGTGTAGTAGTTATAATTAATAAAATTTAAATTATAATAAGAATTACCACGTTCTCTTGCCCCTTCTCTTCTTGTATCAACTTTTGAGGATCTTACAAACGCTGGGAAACAATTGATAGACATTTGTGTTGTACATTTTTTCCTATAAATCATGAATTTCAAAATACCTGTTCAGAATAGTTGGTTGTTTGCAGGAAGTGAAATATTATCCAAGCAAACTGCAGTAGAGCACAATCGATAATGGCTGTAAATTATAATAGATGGCAGCACTAATCTTTAAGAAGTGCTGTAGTCTTTCGCTCCTACGTAAAATTGAATATGTTTTGGATTAAAAGTTTCTGTTGCTATACTGTTTGCTCATCTATTCAAGTTAACACTAAAGATCTTAATTTCAACACATGTTAAGTGAATTGGTGAAAAAAATCATTCGACTTTATTTCTTTCAAAAATTTTCCAAGTTTAAATCTACGGTGGGATAACGGTAAGAATCAAGATTTACAACGCTAAAAACCGGGGTTTGATTCACAGTTGATAGCCGAATGTGGGTTCATTTTAAAACAATCCTAAATTTTATGAAAAATATTCTGAAAGTTTTGCCATTAAATTAGTGTTTATTTAGTGTCTTGTTTATCAGTTTTTGAGATTACCAATTCAGCTTATAAATTAATTGAAGACAATCAGTTTAATTCACAAAGGAAATGATAAATATGAAGCTTAATCTGTCATTCGAGTCACCATTTGTTATATGGGAGGAATTCCATCCTTTTTAGTAACTCATGATGTTCAAATACCCTACCAGAAACACTGCTGGACAAGGGCAGATCAAATAATAGTAGGTTTCACCAAGTGGCAAGGTGTATGTTGTAAGTATCGTGTTTTGAATAAACGACAATTCAAAACATAAAATGTAAGAAGGTTAAGTTAGAGAGAATCGGTGGAACTTGTGGAAAAAAATAGTGCAAATTTTGATTAAATATTCAAATCGAAAAAGTAATGCAACAAATCAGTCTCTTTCAGAAACATACTCTCTGATATATTGTTGTTACTCACTTTATTAACCTTTCTTGAAAGTTTTACAATATTTACCTAACTAATGTCATATTAAATATTAGAACATCACATTTAAAAACTCTTCCATTTCAGAGTCAAATTTCACACAACGTAGTTACAATATTCCACATATGCAAATTATAGAGTAAATAAATAAAAACAAAGTTTCTACACTGATACGTTAAAAGTTTGAACAACACTTACTACAGCTATATACAAATGTACTAGTACACTGGTACCTCAACCATGACGAGTCTGTTTTTAGACCTAATGGTGATTGTGATGTTTATGTGTAAAACTTTCTTCACTGATTGAATACTAACCATTATGATAAAAAAAACATTTTTTTTTGTGTGTGTAGAAATAAAAATACTTTATTTTATCAACTTTACAGTATGATTTGTTAGATCCTTGTGTCTGTGTGACCTTGCAAAAGTGATATTTCATTTTAATTTAAATTACGTTTTCTTTGTAAGTTGCACCTAACTAAGAATGTCCTGGTTTTACCCCTGAAAAGTCCAGGTTCATCTGGCTAAAGCACTAGACAGGGGCATATATTTCAAACAAACTGTGTGGGCACAATGCCATGATGAATACGATCATAAGTGAATAAAGTATAAAAACATCGATGAAACACTAACGACTGCATGTTTTAAATAAAACCAGCTATTACATCTATCAGGTATTATGGCAATCACAGAACGTTAATGTTCATTTCTCCTAAGCTGCTTTTATTTATATAGGTACGTGAACATTTAGGTACTTTTGTAAGCATTAGGAATATAAACTGTCGACTCACATATTAATTACGTGTGAAAACGGCCAACAAGTTTTGTGTGAGCACCTGCCTTTTTGTATATATGGAATATACGCCCCTGCTAGAGTTTTATTCATCAAGCAAAAGTGCTAGGGTTTTATAAAAACAGGTCTAATTGGAACAAAAGCGCTAGGGTTTTTTTTCTTTTTTTAATGTGATTTATCAAGCATCTTTGATCCTACGCGATTTTGTTGTTATGAGCGCGACCTGGTGATTTGTTGCCCTGAAAAAGTCTTAAGTTGGCTGTAAATATCAACTCTATAGAACTACGTTCAATCACGAGACTGAATTCCAAGAAGAAAAAGAAGACCTGAGAGTGAAACTACATATTTTCATCTAGTCATTACTGCAACGTGTACATCCTTAACTCCATATCTAAACATCGATAAAATCAAACTAGTTTCATTAACTACAGGTACAGTCAACCATCGTTATCAAGGTAACGAAACCTTCTGTAACCCAGGGAACAAAAACTTCCTCTTCCTTAAAGTCGGGAACCAGGTTGATACAAAACAGGTTTTTGAAATCGTTAAGGCTAGCCAGAGTTTATATAACTAGTTATGTTTGTCAGTTCCGCTCTGAGCGCACGTGACAAATTGATTTTCCGGTTGGTTAAGGTATAATGAAGAGATGGCTACAAGTTAACCGTTGTTTTTCGCGGTTCGAACTCAGCACATGATGCCATCTACCATCTACAACGATACTTGGAGCACTTGCCCACTTCTCTAGAAAGAGCTGCCACCTTGAACACGCCCATTTTGGACTCCATCCAATTCGGTACGAACTGGTCGAGAACACTGAAAGTAGGAAGAGTAGTATTACATTTATTGGTCAGGAACACGAAAGTAACATTTTGTTAAGAATAATCTTTTGAAGTTCCATGGGTCTAAAATAATATAAAAATATGACGATAGGTGGATGAAAAACATTTGTTCATATGGTGCCATTAAGAAATAACTAATGTTTTTATTCCTTCAATTAAGTAAAACTGTTGAACTTAATACTTACTTTATGACAGTTGTTTTTCCTCTAACGTCACTCATAGCGTTCCCAAGTTCACAGATGATTCTATTCATACAGTCTTCATCTTCCACAGCCGACCGATAGATGGCGTAGTACTTCTCAAGTTTCTTCCCGAAACCACTGAAGACGTTTAACTCTTCCTGCTTCCTGGATGTAGCGGCGCTGGTTCCCGTTAGGCTGGTTACTGTGGGTATAAGAAGGCCTAGCCCAAGGAGACCCAACACCTGCATCAGTAATGACCCAAATCCGTAACTACTACTTCCCTGACCAAGCCCGTAGCTGCCAGATCCAATAGGATACTGATAGTTAAGACTGTTGGCGGAAGGTAAGTAGCCTACGTAGTTTCCGGTATTACCTGGAAAAACCCCTGTCACTAACTGATTAATGCCGCTGCCGTGACCTGAGGATCCTAGCTGGCCGGAACTGGACCCTGAAAACTGGCTAGCATAGACTGTAGGATTCAGATCCTGAGTGTCCGCGGCAGCTTGGTAGATCTCTGATCCTGAAGAGCCCTGGGCTGAACTTTTATCGAAGCTAGTAGTTCCGGCTGGTTTGAAACTGGAGCCAGAGCTAGAAGCGACATACGTCGGCTGAAGCTCAGACACAGAATAACTGTTGTCTTTTAACTGCTGTTTTTCCTGCACAGGGTAGTAATAATAGTAGTGGCCTCCCTGGTTAACAGAGGGCGCCTGATGGTTCTCCTTAGAGTCTTTTGCACTTGTAGAAGATCCACTGGATGCAGATGAAAAATATACCGGCTGGTTGCTACTAACACGCGGCTTTTTGTCATCTTCCTCTTTAGTGGTGTCGCTGGAAGCAGCGAGAGCAAGGCCTAGCAGTCCAAACAAGAACACTGATCTCAACATGTTGTTCTGCAATGAGAAACGTCAAAGTTAAATACTCACCACAAACCCTGGTAGTAAAAACGATAAGTTTTTATTCTAGCTAAGAAGAACCAGTAAAACAAACTGTTCTAAATGTACATCTAAAGTATTATTATTTAACTAGTGAAGTTGAAAATCGTCACAATTCCTCCACAGGTTCAAAATACTTATTAACGCTTTAGTTCATATTCGTATTAAATATATAAATTAAAAAAATACTGGTATGCCAGAAAAAGTTTCCGGAATATTAATACGAAAAACCATTAAAACTTTCTACTACATGACGAAATGGAAATCAGTTGAACTACAGTATGCTTGATCTGACGGATATAAGTCAAACTACAGTATTCCTGACATGACGGATATATGCTAAACTACAGTAGTTAGCACACATGATCACCTACAAAACTACAGTATGTCTGACATGACGGATATATGCTAAACTACAATATTCTTGATATGATGGATCTAAGGTAAACTACAATGTGCTTGATATGACGGATATAAGGTAAACTACAATATACTTGATATGATGGATCTAAGGTAAACTACAATATGCTTGATATGATGGATATAAGTAAACTACAATATCTTGATATGATGGATCTAAGGTAAACTACAATATGCTTGATATGATGGATCTAAGGTAAACTACAATATACTTGATATGATGGATATAAGGTAAACTACAATATACTTGATATGATGGATCTAAAGTAAACTACAATATACTTGATATGATGGATATAAGGTAAACTACAATGTGCTTATCAAGTATATTGTAGTTTACCTTAGATCCATCATATCAAGTATATTGTAGTTTACCTTAGATCCATCATATCATGATGGATCTAAGGTAAACTACAATATACTTGATATGATGGATCTAAGGTAAACTACAATATACTTGATATAAAGCTACTGAATCATTGATGACAGAAGTAGCAGAATCCGAAACTTGATTATTTTTTGTTTTTTATGTTTGTACTTTCCACCTGACGATTCTCTTTCATTTAAAACAACTGTAAATTATAAACTACTTACTGTTCCTCCGGATAGTTTTACTTGTTACAAAGTATGAGTTCTTACCTGTTCTGTAAAGTCCGTCTCCTAGTGCTTCAAGACGCTTTTCTGTATTTGTACAGGTCTTGGCTAAAATAAATACTGTGTTTGTCGCCAAGGTGGTCACTTTAATCACGTGATCTGGAACTACCAAATTGTTGTTATATAAGTCCCCCTAGAATACCTCTAACTGACGTAACCTATCTGATGATTGGTCGGCTACAATAGCAGGCGGTTTTCAAAACTCCCTTACGTTTCCAGGCGATTCCACCTTGCCCTCATTGCCGCCCGGAAATAAACAACAATCTGTACTAGCCTTGACCAAGATGTAATCGGGTCACGCCGACACGTGCCTCGCAAATTCTCACGGAAAACAAGAGCTTGTAATCTTCCGCGTTCTGGCGAGGTTGTTAAACTCGAAAAGAAGTTCAAGGCCATAATGGGGCTGTCGTTAGCTGACCCTGAATTTTCACTCAAAGAGAGCCAGAAACGAGGTCTGTCCTCGAGGTGGCGTTGCTTTCCCTACATTAATACCGTTCACCTTGTCTTCATCCATTCTTCCTAAAAGTTATATTTTTACTTTTATGAACTTAGATTATATGAAAGTTCAAAATGAAGTTCCATTATGAACTCCAAGCATTTTTCACGCTTTAAAAAAAAAGTTCAAAGAAACCGCTGTGATTACATCAAGTAAAGTATCATATGAAATGGGCGGATCGTGATGTTGAAGAAAAACTACAGTTATATTCTGTAGAGAACCAAGACGAAGAAATGGATAGTGAAGTTGAAGAAAAACTACAGTTATATCCTGTAGAGAACCAAGACGAAGAAATGAATCATGAAGTTTAAGTAAATCTACTACCATTATATCCTGTAGAGAACCAAGATGGATAGAGAAGTTTAAGTAAATCTACTACCATTATATTCTGTAGAAAACCAAGATGGATAGAGAAGTTGAAGTAAAATTAAAATTATATCCTGTAGAGAACCAAGATGAAAAGATGGATAGTAAAGTTTAAGTAAATCTACTACCATTATATTCTGTAGAGAACTAAGGTGAACGGATGAAGCATGAAGTTGAATTAAATCTACAATTACATCCTGTAGAGAATAAGATGAAGAGATGGATCGTGAAGTTGAAGTAAATCTATTAAATGTAAAACTGTTTCAGCTTTTTACTTTAATAATGACCAGTACTATAAATAACCAGATCGTGTATATAACTCTATACAACTCTGGCTAACGCTAAACCATCAACAATACCAATGGTATTAGAGGACAGGGCAACCAATTGACCAAACATCTTTCTTGGTTTATCATGAATACTCTGATGTAACGAACTTCAAGAAGATACTTAAGACTATATCTTCATCACAAATAAAAACTGTACTCGCTAACCTTCGGTCATAAACCCTTACCCATCTGTCTAAAGGTCATCGGACATTCGTGATATCAGACGCCTAATAATAAAAGATACTTTTATGGACAAAAATCGTCTGTTACTATAGCAACAAAAGGTTGGGAACATGTGGGTGTCTCTCAATGGTTCGCAAGGTAACGAGAAACCTTACCTAGAGTCGTTTATCACTAGTAGCTAGTTGTGCCTAACTTATAACAGGCACAAGACTAACAAAATGTAGCTCATTACGACTCCATTAATCAGCCTTGATTTTCAAACATATAATATATGGACAAGTGTTGACCAGTTTTGGCAAGGAGCCAAATAGAAAGTCTTTTTTTTTTTTTTTCCAGACTTGAGACAAAACAAAATTTTCATCAGTCTATGTCTTTAAAGTAAATTGATCTGCCATCACAGCATTTCTTGAACGAATACACTCATATTTCCTGAGATCTTATATTCGGGCTGATCATACGTAGGTGCGAGATTTCATTAACCAAAGGAACGGTAAACTTTGTAGTAAAGACGTCTGACAAACAGTTTAATATGAATCACGACATAGAAAACAATCGAGAAGTTGGAACATGTGGTAAAACTAGCGAAGTACATGATGGAGACTATTACTAAATGAAACTTCGATACAACAAATGGTTTGTTGTAGTGTTTATACACCTTTAGACTAAATGGTTTGTTGTAG